ATATCTTTTCCCAACAGTCAGTTGCTATTGAAGTAATACCGCCAATAACCGCACCTGCACCAGCATTTGAATAGCACACTAAATAGAAATCACACCTTCAAACGATCCTCCGAGGATGCTTCCAGGATCCTTCATTGGTGAGTCGTGTGCCCCCTTGGAGCTTTATCTCTCCATTGCTCTTTCTCTGTCAATGTGATCTGCTCCGCTGGACTAATTCATTCTAGACATCTGATAATTTCAGAAGCGTACTAGTCTGGTGCTCTGACTATCATGCTTATGACATTGTGCTTAACCTTTCAGTGGTCTTGCCTTATGCGGGCCCATTTGACGTCAGACTGTGAACGAGTACTGAGGCTCGACGTCATCAAATTGCCGCTCGCATATGTTCGTAAGTTATGTTTAGTATATATTGCAATGCTAGGAGTGCAATACCACGTGGCACGTACTAGTACGGTAGATTGTACTGAGACTTGCCCATCGGACGAATGCGACCCCGCCACACTGTCAGCGGCTCCGTCACTCCTAACAAGCGTATCAACTGGTCGCTCTTGCATGACCAGTTATTTGTTAAGGTTACTCGCAGCGGTGTCAGACACAGCGGCGTCAGATGCAGCACGCACGCTTCTTTCATCACTCTGCAATGTCTGCATGTATCTTGTCCCTATCTAAAGTGTTTTACACTTGTGGGTGTGGTTGGGCTGTGGTCTACTTGTCAGGATCTTACTAGGCAGCTATCACTGCATCTGGTGCAACCGTCGACGGATTATCTGGCTTGCCGCGCATCGCGCTATCGTACCCTCCGCGTTCCTCGTCCGGGCTGATACGCAGTAATTCAAATAGCTCGAGGGCCCAAAATACCACCCCCATTGTGAGTGACGTCCAAAGTGTAATGCAGAGGGCACCGATGAGCTGAGCCGCAAGCAGCCTTCCACCTCCTCCATAGAACAGTCCGGAGTACTCTCCCTGCCAACGAGGGTACACTTGCATGAGATAGTCCTTCTTAGCAAGCAGTCCAGCGGCCGTGACTCCAAGCAAACCGCATCCTGCATGCAACTGGAATGCCTCCAGTGGATCGTCGTATAAGAGCTGCTTCGCTAATGCATTCATGCCGATCAACACCCATGCAGCGAGCATGCCTATGAGGATAGCAGCCCACGGCTCAATTACCGCGCACCCTGCAGTTACGGCTGCAAGTCCTCCAAGGAGACCATTACACACGTCCGGCACATTCCAGTACCCGGTGATCGCCCTCCTGGCAAGGAGTGTGGTAAATGCGGAGGTGGCAGCACTTAGAGTGGTGGTGACGGCGGTCCTCGCAACGACGACATCCTTCGCAATGTTCGCGACGGGAACAATAGAGGTCAGGGAGCCAGGATTGAATCCATACCACGAAAACCACAGCAAGCAAGTCCCAAGAACTAACAAGGTGTCATTTTTTTGCTCCTCCGGCTCCGGCAGAGATAATCCCTTTCCCTGTTTGCGTTCCCGCTTCTCTTTCACGGCGAGGCGTTCACCCTCTATCCACGAACCCCAAAACCCGGCAATCCCCCCCGTCAAGTGAACGACACTGCTGCCTGCGAAGTCCACCATACCCACACCCAGAAAAGGGTTGATCTTGAATGGGCTGATCCAGCCGCTTGGCGCCCACACCCAGTGCGAAACAACAGGGTATACGAATCCAGTCAGGAAACTGACGTAGACGAGATAACCTGTGACCTGCGTTCTCTCGGCGATTGAACCACTGGTGATCCCTGCTGCGACCCCAGCGAATGCCCATTGGTGCAACCAACGGCTCGTTGGGTTCACAGGGTTGCCATTCTCCAGTGTAGGGTGGTGGAAATTATGCATGGCGAAATTACGTGTGCCAATGAAGCCGTTATGGGGTGGGCCTCCGTACGCAAACGCGTACCCAAAGAGGTAATAAGCAATGGCCCCGACGGCAGCGTCCATGACGTTGTAAAGCATGATGGTCAACGCGTGCGTGCGATTCACTGAACCGGCACAGAGCACGGCGAATCCGGCTTGCATCAGGAAAACAAGGTATGCTGAAAACAGCAAGAACATGGCATCCGTGCCGGTGACGGCATCTTCTGAGCGATTCTGCACGGCACAGACCAAGGATATCAATACCTTCGAGGAGTTTGGATCCAAGTGGGACGCAGCAGCAATCGCCTCCAGCACCTCCTGGTGGGTACTGTTCTTGCACTGGTCGGACGCCATCCTGTGCAGCCCTGGAGTCCACAACTGGAACACGCACAAGAGCCGGAAGTTTATAAGGTTGATGTTATTATGATGAAATGGGATGCTGGACCTGTCTCCAGCAGGTGCCGCTCCCCACCAATACATTTTTTGGAGCACCCACTAGGCCTTCTAGAGGGAGATGCCTGCATCACTCCCTCTACCATACCAGGACTGGCGTTCTCTTTTCTTTTTTTTTAGAAAAAAAGAAAACAAAGAAATAAAGGAAGAAAGGAGGGAAAGAAAGAAAGAAAAGGGAGGAAAGAGAAACTGAAAGCCCCAGTCTGATTATCAGATGTCAGATGAGATGCCACCTATAGGACGAAGGGCCTCGCCACACCACTCTCAAAACAAAAAAACAAAAAATGAGTGCATCTTCCTCGGAAAGTGGCAAGATGCATGTGTCACTATTCATAGGAAGGGATTCATTTTGCCACTCTTTGCGGGAACATGCACTCAAAACTTTTTGTCGTTTCGACAATTGTGTGACGGGACCCAGACCCAGTAAATCCAGGCTCAACTTAAAGTTTGCGGCTTAATAAGGTCATTGAAAGAGGTGCGCTGGTGGACAGTTGGGGAGAGGGGTAACAATTCAAGCGTGCATTGGGAAGGACGGGGGTTATCAATTATACTTTCAGGCAAGAATATGGAAGAAGAACGTTGGGCACCGACTTTTCGGCAGGTTGTTGGGGGTGTCTGATACATAATTTATTAATTTAATATGGGCTGCAACCCCCTGGTAATATGGGCTGCAACCCCCTGTAATATGGGCTGCAACCCCCAGGCCTGGTAAGGGGGTCATAAAAGAGCCAAGATGTAGGTTGGACTTGGATGTCAGCTACACCGCCCCACTGAAAGCCATCATACGGAGTCATAGTACCAACCAGAACTGGAGGGGGAGGTCTCGGAGAGGTAATAAACGTCATACGAGGGTAGCTGAAACGAAAAATTGTGGACCACCTGTAAGTGTAATCTGAGCTGATCGGAGCCACAGTGCCGTCTTAAAATAATATTATGTGGGTCAAGACGAATATGTCCCCGATGCACTGTGAGGAATTATTACTGAGGATCGACCTACACGTACGTATATGTGACTGATTGGTTGCAACATATTGTCTTTGCCTCAATGCCTGCAAGATAGGCATGGGTCGCTACCTACCTCCCTTGACCCATAACTGATTCTCGACAATCGTAATGGGGCAAGGCGAGGTACACAGCCAATCAAATGGAAAAACTGACTACAGCAAGCATGCACGAAGACCGAAAACAGTCCTTTGACAGTTTTATTTTGGGAATAAGCTCAGAAGAATGCTGGTATGAGTTTGGACCTGCAATAGTTAGTGGACAATGTGCGTTTAGGGCATCAGGCCCCGCTGTGCACGCACGGCCTCGAACTGGCACCTTCAGCCTCAAGAACAAGGTCTTGTAACCACCACAACCCTTGGAAGTGTTAATACCGGCCACCTCCAGGACTGTTTGAACTCACCCCACTCACACAACACCACACCACGGACACGGCAATCAACACACTGCGCTCGGACAACACGCAGCCCACCACCGGTCCTCGGCCTCAAGAACGAAGTCTCGTAACCACTACAACCCTTGGAAGTGTTATAAAAACTGGATTCATACCAGCCGTGATATCCAGCCCACCTCCAGTGCTGTAGCGTCCTTGAACTCACACCACACACACAACACCACACCAGGGACACAGCACCATGTCCTGCAAAAAAGACCAGCCTGGCCGAAACTCAGACAGGAAAAGGGGGTTTCGTGCTGCAAATAAGTTCAGTGCGAAACTCAAACTGCAAACTTTAAGCAGTTCAGCCCACGAGCGCAACCAAATGCACAAAAGTTGTCTGAAACTCAAACTGCAAAAATGTTCGGTTGAAACTCAAACCGCAAAAAACTTCAGTCCAAAACTCAAAGTGCAAATCTTCCACAGCTGACTCAAATCCCTCCGCACAGCAGCACAGGGATTTGAACTGGCACACTCGGCCTGAAGAGCGAAGCATCGTAGCCACTGCAGCCATGTCACAGCGTCCAGAACAAAAACGGTGTGAATATGCACCCCACCCCTGCATGGCCACAGTGTCCATACTCACTCAGTGACACACACACAACACCACACACGGCACTCTGTCACAACATGCTCTTTTTTTTTTTTTTTTAACAAGAAAACACCCTGAGTTGATGCTAGGATAGCTGATAAGAGCAGACTACCCTAGCATTATCTGGGAAGCTCCATCTATTTGTGGGGAGCTGCACATGCTGGAAAACGGGTCCAGCGTCCCTCACATTTGGCGAGTGAAATATGGATCGAACACTGTGTTCCCGATAATCCTGCCTCCTGTTGTAACTTTTGATCATTGTTGTAATGGACCTCTTCACCCTCCCATGGGGCGCCTGATGTAGCTTTACCTGCCTAGTCATTACAACAGTTGGGAGAGACTGATGGTATGACTGTCTACTCTTCCGCTCCCGTTTCATCTGCAACTGAGTCGTTCCCATACCATGACAGTGGAACCAATGCATTCTGAGGAAGAGTGAAAAGACTTGGAAACTCGTTGGCCGGGCGAAGAGGTTTCGATGGATCCACCTGCGTCCATTCATTAAAAGATAACTTGTAGTTTCTGGTAATAGCTTGCTCCTCCTCCTTCCCCTCTCCCTCTCATTCCACCCTCCCTATTTTTCCTCCCTTCCCTCCCCCCAGCCAGTCACTGCTGAATTTTTGAAAAAATTCTTTAATTTCAGATTTGGATGAGTTGAACTGGATTTTTTCCTTTACCTTGATCCATTGGTCCTGAATATCGGTTTGGATTTGCTGTTTTATGCTGTCAGTGAACTCCGGGCCATCCAGTCTAGCATCTTCCCATTCATAGGTGTTCCGTCTTCGCCAGATAGCCCAGAGAACCGCACTTCTACCTACGGTGAACGGATTGTGAGTGAAATTATCTTCCTGTTCTGGTGAATTATCTTCCTGTTCTGGTGACCAGTGCGCTAGCAGAATTGCTTTCCATTGGAATACATCCGAAAAACCATGGGAAGTCCTGCCAGCATTGATTGCCTGGGATCCAGGGGATTGACTGAGCAGGCTTATTGGAAGGGGGGGGAACCTCTAATGGTGAGTGTTTCACATTTTATGAGGAGCTCACTGATGGAGATGCCCATGNTAACTTTTGATCATTGTTGTAATGGACCTCTTCACCCTCCCATGGGGCGCCTGATGTAGCTTTACCTGCCTAGTCATTACAACAGTTGGGAGAGAGTGATGGTATGACTGTCTACTCTTCCGCTCCCGTTTCATCTGCAACTGAGTCGTTCCCATACCATGACAGTGGAACCAATGCATTCTGTCGCAACATGCTCTTTATCCAGCACATGACCCATTCCCCCAACGGCCACACACTCCTGGTCGATTACCAAGCTAAGTACAGATCAGACTGAGTACTTCCACATCCTCGGATCCCTCCGCATGACAGCACACAGATCTGAAGCGGCACCCTTGCCCTCAATTTCCTCAAGAGCCAAGCGTAGTAACCACTGCAGCCATGATGCAGTCTCCAAGAGTGGAACCATACCAGCCTTGATCTACACCACATTTTGAAATGGACCACTGCAGTCCCAGTTAAACACAAACACATGACATGGACAAGGACCGAAACAGGCGGTCCACTTCCTAACGGTCAAGGGACCTGGTCCAAAGATCCAAACCATTCGACAAGGAACCAGACTGCTTCCAAACATCCATGCACTCACTTCAATATCATAATGATTTTGTGACTCAGAGTCTCAGACGCATAGTGATCGCCATTGTCTCCCCCATTTCCATCATTAATTGCCTGTGGTTTCCCAAAATGCTTATCGAACCAAGTGGAGTGACAGATGGACTCTTGTTCTGCATGCAGAAGACGATAAGCTGCCTAACGGAGCCGTTTGGCGCTGATCAGTTCGAGTTTTTTATGAGAGCAAGGTCACATAGCTAATCATGTTCTTGCTTCAAGGGCACTTTTTCTCCGGGACTGGAAACGCGTTGCGCGCAAAAGAAAATAAACTGGTGCAGGCCTCCTTTCGGCTGGCACTGCCAGCCATTTTGCTCCGGCGGCTGAGCCCTGAAAGTTGCAGCAGCGTGCAAGTCACACCTCCGAAAACATTGCTGGGAAACGTACTGGTGGCTGAGAAATTTTGAGATGATTGTGGTCGTCTCAGAACCAACTTGCTCGCTTATAGGCCAGGATGTTTGTCCAGGTGGCCGCAGGGGGCGCAGCACCCATCTTGTCCCCGGATCCATGCACGGGCAGGTCTGGACCTCCAGGACTTCTGTTGGTCACATCCTGCTCTTCTCTTCCACCTCATCCCAATGGCCCATCATCTTTCCCTGAAAACAACGCACCCTAATTATGAACGTATCGACCAGAGAAAGAGTCTGAGCTTTTGTAAATCATTGATGAGGTGCACTGGGTTCCAGAGAAGACGATAGTTGTCCTCCTCCTCCATGCCCTCCTCGTTTTTGTGTATGTGTGCGCATGCTAACACCCAAGCTTGCACACACACACACACACACACACACACACACACACACACACACACACACACACACACATCTTCGCGAGGAGGCTTAGAGAGTCTTTGCTGTGGGTTTCACTCCCATGGGCTGCTCTTTTGGAGCACATGGAATATGGTGGAGCTTCAATGGTGTTTTAAGCAGTAGTGCTCCCGGTGTCGCGGGAAGATTCCTTAGAGTTCTTTTGTGCCTTTGTGGGCCAACTCGGAGGGCTCTCCTAATTCTTTTGGACGAATGGGGGCTTGGTCGGTGCTTCGTGTTGGTAGAGCCCTCTGTGTTGTGGTGCGCTTATTCTTTGTGGTCCGTGAAATATAATTTGTTAAGCATGTTGCCTTTTGTCCTCCATCAGCCCCAAGCTGAGTCTGAATTGACCGCAGCCCCGACGAACAACAAACAGCATTCTCTGTATTGTACGATGTATCATAGGGA